AACATTGCATAAAATTTAAATGATATAATCAAATTGTATCCACATATTGGTATAGTGTTTTGATTTTTAGTATCAAGATTATTACGTTTTTGATCGACATCATGCACCGATTGATGTTATATAACCATTTAAAACCTGGAATCATTGGACATCCGTTTCGTTCTATTGTGGGATTCTTCAGTAGTGAGGATACTAAAGAATATATGTGTAACAGACAGATACTTTATACTGAAAGTTATTATCTATAAAATCAATTAAAATGTCGGTAGCCGATAGACTATTGATTAATGGTGATATTATGCTGACTTCGTGATATATATATACGTGTAACCATGTACTTACTTATACCTGTTATCCCGCGTGCAGGAGCATAGGCCATCCACCAGTATGCTCCACACAACCCAAAAATGATCTCTTATTTAGTTACGCTTGTTACATAGGCTGTCCACCAGCACTCACCAACTAAGCTTGTCCTGGGCAATCCTTAACAGTTCTGTTCAATCGCTATTCATTCTCTTGATATCTACTTCCATTTCCCAACACAATGTATTCTTTGGTCTTCCACCTTTCTGTTTCCCTCCACGATTCAAAGTTAGAGTTTTCTTTGTGATGCGATTTGATGATTTCCTCAATATGTATCCTATCCACATGCAAAGATTATTAAGAATTTCCTCTTCAATTGGAAGCTGGTGAATTCTCTCCCACAGTAGGCTGTTGCTGATTATATACGGTCAAGTGACACTGAATAGCTTGTGTAGACACTTGTTTATAAATACTTGTACATAAACACCTTGCTGACAAGTGCCAAATAACACGAAACCCGAGTCCAGGGTTTCCTGTTGATTGCATCCAACCACCATTCTACTTCTACACTTTTGATGATGGTTGTAGTAAATCTCGAAGTTCCAGCCCCGTACAGTAGAACTATCTTTATGTTCGTATTGAAGATTGTGAGTTTGATATTGGTTGACAGTTGTTATGAGTTTCATATGTTGTTCAACTGTGAGAATGCAGTCCTTGGTTTGCCAATCTATGCCCTTACATATGCATCAGATCCTTCTTGTTCATCGGTGATGCTGATTAGGTATGTGAATATTTTTACTTGGTTCAGAGGTTCTTCATCCAGTGTGATTGATTTTCTGTACTCTGTGTTGTTTTTGAGGATCTTGCTTATTCCTTTTTTACGTTGATTCCAACTGCTGAGGAGGCTGCTGCTACAATGAATGTCTTGATCTGTATTTGATGCAGTGTATGGGATAGAAGAGCTAGGTCATCTGCGAAGTCCAAATTGACTGTCTGTATTCAAGCTGTCCACTTCATTCCGTGTTCTACTGAGCTGTAGACGTATTTATAATCCAATCGATCATTTAAGGAAAGTGGAATAGCGAAAGTAATCAGACATCTCTGATACCGGTCTTGGCTTAGAATCCAACTTTCAGCATCACTCTGAGTGTAGTTCTTTGAATGAATTCCGAAGGACATTGAAAATCTTTTTAGGTACTCACTCTATAATGTCGAAAATGGTTCCATAAGCTTTTCTTGTCAACAATACTAAAATATATTTGTAATCCTAGGCAAAAATGTTAAGTATTCATTAAAATAGCTATCTTTCAAAATGAATTTTAGTCTCGGCTGGATATAACTGTAAATTGATTGATGTTTCTACTGGGACTCATGTCAACTCCCTATCATTTCAAACACCTAAACACGCTATTCAGTTAATTGATGTATCTAAATAGCCATTAGATTGTTCAACGAGTCTATTACTATTAAGAGTTGATATATTCCGTTGTCAGCATTCAAGATTGATTTATAATCAATATTCGTTAATATATCAAGATAATCTATATAGTACCAATAAATATTGATTAAAATTCAGTCCTCTATACTAACAATATGATAAACAATAATGTATAGTGGCTGGCAGCGGAATCTGGGACGAACGTTTCGCCCTACTTGAGACTCGTCAGCTGCATGCACTCGAAACCAGTACCATTCGATTCAAACCCCATCACGTTATCCACTCAGCTACTGATTTCTGATAGCCACTTCCTTGTGCAATGGGGTGTGTTATGACCTTGAAATCGCTTTTACCCCGTGATACTTGTTATGACTTCACCTTGATCTGTTTAGACTAAACTGTGACCTTGACGCGCTAGGCTGAGTGGCTTAACCTTGAGTCTAATACGCGTGAGTTCGATCGGGGTAGAGAGAACTATTCTAAATCCTGATTGGTTGGCAAGCACGCGAGTGAAAGAAGACAAGACAGTTGGAACACTAAACTCTGGATTCTCTGAATTCGGATTACTACAAAAATGTACATGAATAAATAAGTGCATATCTTGACCACGACGTACAATAATTTGGAAAAATACAGTTATGCCCGAAACAGGGAATTAGGGTAGAAAATATAGTGCAAAATATGTTTAAATTACAATATTTTTGGAACAAAAAAAAAGGTATGCTAGTGAATGATACATAGAACGAAAGCTCGTGTTATGTAGAATAAGATAGGGACAAAAATAAATATAAGTGTTTTACAGGTTTTGAATGAAATGCAATAACGTCCCAAGAAAATAGCTTTCGTAATTGTCTGGGCTTCTTAATTCCCCGTTCGTAACAGGGTGAAGTTTAAATTCATTTGGTATTGTTTGGCTTGTATCAATTGATCAGTCTTAAACCTCAATGGGAAGAAACAAGCCAAACAATACCAAGTGAATTCAACAATATGATAAGTCGAATCGTTACAAATAATAATCTAAATTTCATTCTTTTATCATTCTCATTATTGTTTAGATAATCAACAAGTAGGTACGTATTTCAACTTAGAAGCCTTACTCTTTTATAAAAGCTACATGAAATAACGTAAGATCTCTCTGAATTAATTCATTGTTCATTATAATTTTATTCAATAGATTTATTATTCAAGGGAATCGAATCTCACTGTCATTAACTCATACCACAAATAGATCACAGTATGAATTCAATTACAATTAAAACCTAGATTAAATAGATTACTGTACTAATTCTTTTTAATTAGTGATTGATTATTAAATATAACTGCGTGGTGAATACTTACATCATATTCGACATTGATTTAGTAAATCTTTAGTACAACACAATAATAATTTAGAAATAAGAGAAGATGGATGGTGGCTAGCAGTGGAAGATTCAAACAAACAATACAAAATGTATGTACACTTCACTTTATTACACAAGCTAGTTGCTATTGGGAGTCAGTAGTTAATTGGATAACATGATGGCATTTGAAGTGAACGGTACTGGGTTCAAGTCCCGAAGTGAACATCAACTCTGAGATGTAGGCACATCCAAATGACGAGTCATAATTAGGACGAAACACGCGCCCTCGATTCCACCGCTAACCACCATCCATCTCTACTCCGAATGCTTGTGACTTAAGACAATATCGAGGTAACCCGCACTGGATGTTCATATATCAAAGTTGTTTTCTGTGTACATAATGATTTAAGAATCAAGTTCAGACATAGATCCAAAACTATAAAATAGAATGAAATTCAATCATCATTTACCTTCAGCACTTATCCTCTTTTTTCATAAGTTTGTTACTTATTCTAATATTAATCCAACATGGATTTATTGAAGTATGAATTACATCTTTCTTCAAGGAATATTACAAAGTTTCAGTAGTTTTCTTTATTTGAATGCTCCTAGAAGTGTAAAATTTGACCTAAATTTTGTATTAAATATTTAAACATCGAGTAAGTATAATCAATAAGGATAACTGTACTCAAATTTCATATTCATAGATAGATAGATACATACAAGTAAAATATATCGATAATTTTATAAGTATTAATACTCTATCATAGCAATCGGACAAATCAAGTGAATTTAGGTCAAAAAATAAATATCAGTATAGGGTTATGGAGATAACTAAGTTTTTGATTGAGATCATGAACCGATTGATGTTAGGCTAACATTGAAAACCTGGAGGCACTGGATGGCCGTTTTATCCTATGTGCTCATTAGTGACTAGCTTCGTGATGGAATTCTCGAAGTTCTAGTGAGAAGTCGTGACTAGTGGAGCTAATCTATGTCAAATAGAGACGGGTATCTACCTCGGTACAATGGAATATGGTCACGCAATTTCATAGAATGGTTGAAGTTATACATTAACACCATTGGATGCCGGCTCAATGGTCTAGTGGTCTTGGGTTCGAATCTCGCCGGGTGCGGGATCGTGGATGCGTACTGCCGAGGAGTCCCATACTAGGACGAAACGGCCGTCCAGTGCTTGAAGGTTTTCCATGGTAGTCTAGTTTCAAATGACTAATGATTTCAATCAAACACATAATTATAATGAAACTTTATTGGTGGACATTAGGAAATGTCTCTTTTCTTTTTTTTTTTGTTTAACACTGAATTTAAGATCATATTTACTTATTGTGATAAAAATGTACATATGTACTTGAATTTGTGTGTGTGTTTACTTTCGTTCTTTCTTTCTTTCTTTCTTCCCTCCCTTGTTTGTTTTCATTTCTATAGTCACTTAGCCTAACCCGATAATCTAACCAGAATACAATATAGATATGAATAGACAAAATACGTTATGTATATGTACATCCATACATCCATATGTTGTAGGTCAGTATTTCATTTGATTTGTTCCTTATTCACACTTAACGTTTCTATGATGAAGATAAAATGCAATTTCAATTATATCTTCATTATTATTATTATTATCATGATAATTATGTGTAATGAAAATGCAATGATTGTGCATTCATGAAACGTACACTAGAATAACCAAACCAGCAACATAAACACACACACACATACATACAGACACCCTCACAAATAAACAAATAAAGATCGTCTGTCAATTTGAACATCAGAATTCCATTGTACAAATGTATAATTAGATCTTAATATTCAATCATATATGTATTTAGAAACTTGTTAAAGGATCTCTTATCCAAATGAAAATGATCTTCAATTAAAATGGATCTATACAAAATATGTTGGATCAATTATTGAATAATATGTCTAATTATACAAATCTATATTTCATTATTAATAATCATACTACTACTACTAATACTACTCCGTCTTCTCCTCATTCTTCTCCTCCTTCTCATCCAACTACGACGACTACTACTACTACGACGACAACAACAACGAATCCTACTACTAATCATACTACTTATATCATCCCTATTACATTAACTAAACAAAATGAAATAGATTTAGAATATTTAGATCATATATTATCTATAATGCGTTTAATATGTGGTAAAATTTTAACCCCCTTATTATGTTTAATTGGATTTATATCCAATATTATTAATATTATTATATTAACAAGAGAATGGATGAGTTCATCAACTAATATCTATTTAACTGCTGTATCTATATGTGATTTATTATATTTATTATTTACTTATTTATTTTCATTATGGTTATATCCATCTATTCAACAATTAACTTTATATGCATATAGTATCACATATATACATGGTACTGCTAATTTATTTAGTAATATTACTACATGGCTTACAGTAAGTTTTACATTAGAACGTTATATTGTTATATCATCACCTATATTAGGTAAACGTTATTGTACTAAACAACGTGCACGTTATGTTATTATTATTATATTTATTATATGTTTTTTAATAACATTACCAGATTATTTAAAAAAAACCATCAAATATAATCATACTACTTATAATACTACTCATAATAATAGTAATCATCATTATCATCATAATCAATTAATCAATAATTCAACCAATATAACAATCAATAATAATAATAATCATCATCATAATAATAATAATCAATATTTAGTTGTTGATACACAAATCAATATCATTTTAATTAAAATTGGTTATGATTATATTAATCAAATTATATTTATTATATTACCAATGATATTATTAATTATATTTAATAGTTTATTAATAAGATCTGTGATGAAAGCTAATTATGATCGAAGAATATTGATCAAACAAGGTAATAATAATAATAATAATTGTATACCATCGATCAATATTATAAATGATCCGAAAAATATTGATTTATTACCGAATAGTAATACTCCTAATGATAATAATGATAATGATAATAATAATAATAATAATAATAATAATAATAATAATAATGGACGTCAATATAGTATGGTTCAATTAAATCAAGAAGCTACAACAAGTCATAATGTACCAGCAATTGTACGTGATGCATTAGAAGCAAGTATGAGAACAACAATTGGTATCACATCTAGTATAACACAATCATATCGATCAATGAATTATCAAACAAATTTATTACCAATTATGAATATTAAAAAAGGTACAAAATTAGGTGAACAACATCGTATTACATTAATGTTAATTACAATTGTTATAGCATTTGTATTATTACAATTACCAAGTATGGTACCAACAATAATAATGAATTTATGGAATACTGGTATAATACAATCAACACAATATACAACTAAGTGCCTATTAATTTATGCGAATATATCAAATGTATTATTAATTATTAATGCTGCATTAAATTTTGTATTTTATTCATTATTTTCAGCAAGATTTCGTCAAACATGTTATATACTATTGAAAAATATTACTTGTTTAAAACATTTTTTATATCAATAATACTTATACTACTATGAATACTACTTATATCAATAATCATAATTAATCATTTGATAAAACATTAATTCATAGTGATAAACTTTCATTGAAATAATTCTGTTTCTAAGTACAATTATTAATGAGTATCCATTAGAAATATTCATAATAACTGAATATCATGATTATAGATCAAAGTCAACTTATCTATCCTGTGAGTATACATAGATAATCTTTGGAACAGATTGATGTTTACTGAAGAAAAATTCATCTATATATATCTATAATAATTTTCCAATAGAAGAATCTAGAATGTTCCAAGAAGATGAAATCATGGAATTCATTGAAAGTAATCAAAGTATTCATGGTAATGTTCTCATCATGAATGAACAAACGAACAGATATAATTATGATGTAAATTGTTTTCCTTATATATATATATATATATATATATATATATATATATATATATATATATAATATATATATATATATATATATATATATATATATATATATATATATATATATATATATATATATATATATATATATATATATATATATATAGCCTATTGTTGAACATATATGCATGGATATACATTGTGAATGACTTGTATTTTCACAGCTTATTATTGTTTCATTTGCCTAGTAGAACTATAGATGATAAATATATACATCATATATATTTTGTAAGTAAAGAAAATGTTTCGATTGAGAGAAACTAGTGGGTAAATCAAGTAATATATATATATATATGGAATACTTACTTACTTATTTATATACTTACGCCTGTTATTCCTGATAGAGTATAGGCCTTCCTTTCCAGTTCTGTCCAAATTTTGTTCATTCTTTTCATATCTGTCTCGATTTCTCGGTATAATGTGTTCTTTCATCTTCCTCTTGTCTTTTAGCCTTGAAGATTCCAAGTGAGGGCATGGCTTGTGACACAGTTGGGTACTTTCCTCAATATCTCTCCTATCCACTTCCAGTGCTTGTTCCCGATTTCTTCCTCCGCTGGAATGTGGTTTATTCTCTCCCATAGTAGGTTGTTGCTCATAGTGTAGTGTCTGGCCAACGGATCCGAATTATTTTGTGTAGACAACTGTTAATAAACACATGTATCTTCTGGATGATGGTTCTAGTAGTTCTCTAACTAGAATAGTAATATTGTTTTCATACTTGTGTTTACTTATAAGATTAGTATACTAGTTGAAATATGATATTTGATTAGTTGTCTAAAATGTAGATTGTATATTTATCAACAAAAATTAAGGCTGATATTATTCCCAGTATTGGATTGAGGGTAGATCCGTGTTTTTTTTACTAATTTGATCGGGTCTATATTTTAAAGTATTCAGTTGATTGCGATAATCAGTCGACATCCTTTGTAGTAAAAGAAACAACTGATAATTAACGAGTAGATATAGTCATTTTTAAGATCATAATATAATTATAGACTCCAGCTCAATGGTGTAGAGGTTCAGAGTCCGCGCGAGATAATTATACGTCCTAGGTTCGAATCTCGCCAGGAGGGTCGTGGATGTGCACTGCTGAGGAGTTCTAAACTAGACCAAAAAGATCATCCAGTGCTCTCAGGTTTTCTATGGTGGTTTAGCATTAATTGACTTATGAATTCAATCATGAAATTAGCAATTAAATTAGTTTGATCGGTTTCATATATTATAGGAAAATGTACATTTTTATGAATGTAAACGTCAATTTTATCAACTAAGATAGTTAGTACATATGTTATTTATGCTTAATGATTGTCTATGATTTCATACAATAACTGGTAGTTTCAAAGTACTTCTAGGAAAAGGCAAAAGAGATCATATTCAGAAATAACATCAGTCTAACATCAATCGGTTCATATGATGTCAATTAAAAACATCAGTCTATAACATTTTGACTATTCCATTACAGTATATTAGTTAGTATCAAATAATTGATTCATGTTTGTATAATTATCGTAATAAATGGCTAAAGATATCATATCATCTGGCTAGGTATCAATTTTATCGACAGAGATGGATTCATTCTTTCCTTCCTTATACTTTATACTTTAAGTTAGTTTCTCTTGATGAACTGTATATTATCTATTCCCAAATTATTCTATTACAATTAAGATTATCATTGCGTCTAATACTCTTGTAGTGAAGGAGAACACAGATGAGGAACGAATTATATTTAGCACAAAATTACAGAATTAATTGATAAAACCATACTATAATACTTAATTTGCAAAATGTTCAATAATTGTCTCGAACTTCGTTATTCTTGCATTTCCATTTTGATTGCTTTCTATTCTCACTCTTCCTTTCTTGATCTTCCCCATCTTCTGGTGCCAGACATTACATTCCTGACTCGCGTTATGTACTACTTATATCAATATAAGTAGCACGCACCGCACTCTGATATCGAGTTTCCAAGTGTACTTTTGACAAGAAAAGAAAAACGATACTTAAACGTGTACAGTTATTCGATTCATTTAACTGATTATGTAAGTTGTATATTAAATGTTAAATTAATATCTTTCAATGTGAATGATTTACTTTAAATAAAATCCATGTCGGATGGAGACAAGTATCTACCTCAGTGCAATAGAAGATGGTCACGCAATTTCATGGATTGGTTAAGGTTAGAAATTAACACAGTTGGATGCCAACTCAGTGGTCTAGGGGTTGAGCGTTTGTGCGCGAGACTGAAGGCCCTGAGTTCGAATCCTGTGAGTGTAATCATGAATGCACACCGTTGGGAAGTCCCACAATAGGACGAAACGGCCGTTGAGTGCTTCCAGGTTTTCAATGATGGTTTAACATCAATCAGTTCATAATCCCAATCAAAATTTCATATTGACTCAATATAGTTTTCCATTAAATCATTAAGCTATTAGATTTATAGTACATATGAATCAATATTTTTCGATTATTTTTAAATAGCCATTTAGAATTGATTATGCGAACCTTTAACTTACATACTTACTTACTTACGCCTGTTACTCCTCTTGAAGGAGCATAAGTCACCCATCACGACTCTCTATCCAACTCTGTTTTGAGCAATCATTTACACTTGTTCCCAATCGCTATTCATCATTTGAAATCTGTTTTCAATTCCCAAGGCAGTGTATTCTTTGATCATCCACCTTTCTATTTCCCTTCACGATTCAAAGTTAACGTCTGTTTCGTGATACAGTTTCATGATTTCCAAAATGTTTATTCTATCCAATTTCAACGTCTATTAATAATTTCCACTTCATTTGGAAGCTGATCTGTTCTTCATAAAACAATCATTAGATAAGATTATTGATATAAACGATAGTTCTTCCATTTTATCATACTGTTAATTTTCATGTGTCAATATTTAAATCAAACTAATTGGATATATGTATACCTAGATCACGGTAATTAGATCATTTGTACATCATTAAGTGTCTGGTAACCATTATGGTTTCATTTTGTTCTGTACTTATAATATGTACAGAGGTTTTGTGGTATATATATAGAAGGAATTAACTGTTCGGCGGCCTATGCTCCATTGGGAGTAACAGGCGTAAGTAAGTAATATAGAAGGAATCACATACTAAGACGAGACAATCGTCAAATCCTATCGAGTTCATCAATGACTAGCTTTAAGATGTTCCTGAAGGACTAATGTGAAATTATAACGAGTATTATACAAAAATGTCTTGAGTGAAACAATGTATATCAATGTCATTAGATAATTATCCTTCTATATTGCAGATGGATAAAAGTTCGTATTTTATAATTAAACGCTAAGTCAATGTTTTTAAAAGTTCTGAAAGCAACTCCTAAGAGAAAGGTCATCGACGTTCAGCGCTGTACAACACTCTTCTAGGAGAAATTCGATCAAATAATACCTGGTTTTTTAGTGTTACATTAACAATGATTCAGTTATGCTGGCTATATACACATCAATTCATTGGACAGGTCTCCAATGTAATAGACTTCATATCATGTCTTATTGTTAGAAAATAAAGTAAATTGTCTTCAGAACTACATTTGATACTGAATATGTTTATTTTAGTAACATTCTAAACTGAATTTTATATAACCAAAGTAATTGACAAGTTTTTGTAAAGCATATTAACTAGATTTAGAGGAAGGTAGACTAGCTGTGTTTGATAGCTTAAATGTTTTTGTTTTATTACTGTAGACTCTTCAAAATCATGTGTCTTGACTTAATGAAGTTTGGGGTTGAGCAGGGATTGATTCGAAAAACCATAAAATTACTCGTTTGGTTAGTGACTTTCGATGATTTTTTAAAATGGTACATTACGTTATAAAGTTCCAGAGTAAACATCGATTCTGAGATGCAGACACATTCAGCTGACGAGTCCTAAATAGGAAGAAACACACGTCCTGGATTCCACTGCTAACCACTATACATCTTTGGATATGATGCTTGTGAATTAAGCCTATATCAAGGCAATACGCACAGTATGCACATATGCCAATAACAGACTGATCAATTGCAGTCCTAAACATCAATGGGAAGATTCAAACAAACAGTACCAAGTGAATTTAGCATTTATACTCGTTCGTTATTCATTTTCTAGACTAAAGTGATCAATTCCAGTTTATAAATGAGTTTTTTTAGTGACTACTTTGATATTGTTGAAGTATCATCTTTTTAGTGTAGGACAAATCAGCTGTTCATACTGAATACTCCTCTGAGAGTTAACCTAGAATTTCTACTATAGTTAAGTTTCAGCAGTCACTTGTTCCCACTGGAAACTTTGAAATTCTATGGTTCACATTTCCATGCTCAATCATTTCGTAAGTTAACAATAAATTAATTGAATAAAGTTAGAAATTCAAATGACTGAAACTAAAACCACTGATTTATAACTGAATGTTCACTAAGACATCTGGCAAGGGTGTTTTATATTAGAGAAAAAAAAATGGTTGTTCAGTGTTATCTGATTTATATCAGTAACTTAGTCTTTGTTAATCATTGACAAATGCTACCAGTATATGACCACAGATACCTTAGAAATAATG